AATAATATTTATTTTAATCTTTGAGATTATAATAAACTTAAGTCATTTCCTTCTTTGTTTTCCTGCCTCAAGTGCCACATAAGTCTTCTTCCTCTTTGAATTTCATGGTCTCTTTTTCATTAATTATTGTTATGTGCATGTATGCATATGCATAAACATTGCACATATATGTATTCCTAAATATAATGCACTCAGTCAGCATATGTTTATTGTATGCATATGTTTTTACTTGCATTTGCATGTTTTTAAGGCTAAAACAAATCCTGCCTAGCCAACTGCTGTGCTCTTCCATGAGGAAGACTGCTTCTCCCACCTTCAACATTTCTTAGATGCCTATAGTGTTTTTATTTAGCGTTTTCCCCTCATTATCATCTTTTCCCATCCACTTTAGCATGTCTGTTGTTGTTGTCCTTATTCAGTTCATCTTTAGGCAGTCATGTTAATAAGATTTTAGTCTGTGTAGCTTCTGACATTATTAATAAATACTAGTGTCAGCAATGTCTGACACATAATTTTTTTTATGCCATGAACATTGTATACAATGTTCCCTGAGCCTTAGATGCAGGAGCTGTTTTGTAGATGTATCCCTCGGGACTGGGCTCTACAATTTGATTGGTTGTGGTTTTCTTTAAAATGTTTTCAATCTGCAAAAAGAGGTTGACTTGAAGAGGGGTGAGCATTACATTTATTTCTTGGTATAAAGACAAATTTTTAAAGAACATTTAAGGATTATGTTGGTTTAAAGTAGAAGGTTCTCCTCTAAGATCCATACTTCACCAGCTCTAGAAAGGTGGTTAGGTTTACAGTATCAGGCATGATTTTCTCCTTTGAGCAGGTCTTAAGTCCAATTTGAGAGTTTTTGTTTATACATGCATGCATATATACCTACAGACAAACACACACCAGACACACACACACACACACACACACACACACACACATACACACACAACTACCAGCACATCCTGTTTCTTAATAGATTCCAGGACAACCTGTTAAAGTATGGCACTGTCCACAGTAGACTTGGACTCCCCACATCAATCATTAACCAAGAAAATGTGCTACAAAAATGTCTATGGGTTCATCTGATAGAGGCAATTTCTCTGTTGAGTTTGCCTCTTTCAAGATATGTCAAGCTGGCAAACAAGAATAGCCATCATATGCCAAGATAATGCAGATGTTTCCAACCAACAAGCTTTAAGGTGCAAAGGTATAGACAATAAACAAGAGGAATTAAGCAGCCCACAGGGCAGCTTTACCTGTAATATATGCAAAGGTTTTTGTTTGTTTTTGCAGACATCATGTGTCTGATTAAAAACTTCAGTGTAACTTTGTTAATTTTTTAATTATTGAATTTTATCTAAGTGTTACATTTAACAAACATGCTTTTTTTTTCTGTAGGTTCATTAACATGGCATTTTATATACATTTTACTTTTAACACTCAATCAGTCCTTCATCGTAAAGTCAGTTTAAATAAAACATCATCTAAAATTCAGTCTACATGTTTTGGGTTCACTTTGCTAATGCTATTGATGAATTTTATGTCAATAATCAGAAGTGACTTAGGAATGTGATTTTCATTCTGTTCATTGGCCTTTTAGGTTGTTGTCATTACGGTTATATTGACCTCCTAATTTATGCTAGGAAATTGCCTCTGTAGCTCCGGAAAAGCTACTGTTAGGAACTTCATTTATCCCTTAACTATTGAAACGATTAACTAATGAAATATACTAACCCTGGGATTTTCTTTCTATTAAGGTTTTTATTTAGGGATTCAGTTAATGAAAGCATTTTGAATTTTTTTTTTTCTTGTATTCACTTTGGTCAATTTTACTTTCCAAGGAATTTTTTTTTTACTAGTAAAAATGCAATTTTATCTTCTAAATTTTCTCATTTATGATTCCTGTGTAAGCATCAGGTCAACTATTTAACCATACAACAAATACATTTTAACCATCAGGCATCAGAAGGAAAAAAGATTACAGATCTATAACAAAATAGACCGTCACAAATCACGGCCTAGAAGAAACAGTTGCTATGTGGGTACCAATATACCCCATGCCAATGATTCTCAACCTTCCTAATACCATTTAACACAGTCCCTCATGTGTGGGGAATGCTGAGGTAAGCCTTTGAGAGGCCCATAGGGAATAGGGAGTGAAGCATCAGCAACTCCTCTGGCTCCTTGAAAGGTCCTGATTCACACAATGTTGATCCAGTGGGGACTTCTAGCACACCAGTGAAGTCTCAAAATGGATCTGAGGCTAGGCATTGACTGCTTCCCCTTTCTTTATGGAAGCCTGCTAAGGTGGCCTTGCCCCTCGCCCACATCTCCCACAGCTTCTTATAGATGCACCAAGCTGATTGTTACTGGTGCTTGAGGCTAGCATGGGATGGTCTGATTGGCCTTTCAGTCATTTAAAGGATGCTACACTGGACAATAACGTTACATCTGCACTCCAAGGAATTTTTATCTTTTATTTAAATCTCCAAACTCCAAAAGCCATAAAGTTATCTTATATTTTCTCTCGATCTTAAAAACTCTCTGTAATGTCTTCAGTCATTTCTGAGATAGAGAATTGCACCTTCTTTTCTTCTTGATAATTACTGTTGTGCATGTATCAGTTACACTAGTCATTTAAGATAATCACTTTTTATTGTAGTTACTTTTTTAGGCATTTCTATTTTAATGACTTTTGTCCTGACTTTAAGCCTTCTTTTTTTTAATGCTTATTCCCCTAACTGTTTGCATATACAGATGTTGGAATACTCATCCTCTCATCTTTTCAAATATAAAACCATAGATTTTCTTCAAATGACACCAGCTGAAACTGACAAATCTCAGTTTGCCCAATTTTACTATTTTATTTATTTTTATTTTTATTAATTACATTTTATTCACTTTGTATCCCCCCTGTAGCTCCCTCCTGCCTCCTCTCCCAATCTCAATCTAACTCCCATGTCTACCCATGTCTCTTCTCAAGTTCAGTGATGGGGAGGCCCTCCTCCCTTTCCTTCTGATCCTAGTCTATCAGGTCTCATCAGGAGTGACTGCATTTTTTTTTTTCTCTGTGGCCTGGTAAGGCTGCTTCCCCCTTGGGGGAAGCTGATCAAAGAGCAGGCCAATCAGTTCATGTCAGAGACAGTCCCTTTTCCCATTACTATGGAACCCACTTGGACCCTGTACTGCCATGCACTACATCTGTGCAGGGGTTCTAGGTCATTGCCTTAAATGGTCCTTGGTTGGAGTATCAGTCTCAGAAAAGACCCCTGTGCCCAGATTTTTTGGATCTGTTGCTGTCCTTGGGGAGCTCCTGTCCTCTCCAGGTCTTACTCTCTCTTTCTTTCATAAGATTCCATGAACTCCGCCGAAGGTTTGGCTAAAAGTCTCAGCATCTTCTCTGATACCCTGCAAGATAGATTCTTTCAGAGACCCTCTGTGGAAGGCTCCTGTCCTGTTCCCTGTTTTCTCCTTCTTCTGATGTCCATCCTCTTTGCCATTCTGAATAGGGATTGAGTATCTTAGCCAGAGTCCTCCTTCTTGATTAGTTTTTTTAGGCATACAGATTTTAGTATGTTTAGAAATGTTCAACATCCTTAGTCTTCAGGAAAATACAAATCAAAATAACCCTGAGATTCCACCTTACATCCATCAGAATGGTTAAAAACAAAACTCAAGTGATAACAAATGCTGGAGAGGATGTGGAGAATGGGGAACCATCCTCGATTGCTGGTGGGAATGTAAACTTGTACAACCACTTTGGAAATCAATCTGGTGCTTTCTCAGATAATTAGGAATAGCGCTTCCTCAAGATCCAGCTATACCACTCCTAGGCATATATCCAAAAGATGCTCAAGTATACAACAAGGACATTTGCTCAACCATGTTTGTAGCAGCTGTATTTGTAATAGCCAGAACCAGGAAACAACCCAAATGTTCCTCAGTTGAGGAATGGATACGAAATTGTGGTACATCTATACATTGTAATATTACTCAGCAATAAAAAATAAGGAAATCATGAAATTTGCAGGCAAATGGTAGGAATTGGAAAAGATCATCCTGAGTTAGGTATCCCAGAAGCCGAAATACACACAGGGTATATACTCACTCGTAAGTGGTTATTAGATATGTAATATAGGATAAACATACTAAAATTTGTACACCAATTTTACTTTTAGGTAAGAAAGCATTTTCTGTCCTCCACTGGAATTCTTCTTTGACACTTGGTCAGGTATTGATCTTGATTTCCCTAATCTATACAATTTGGGTATTTTAGATTTTTGCTATCATTTGGAGATTAATTCTACTGATATCAAAAATATCTTGAGTATTTTATGTTTTTAAAGTTTATTTATTTAACTCAATGAACAGAATATTACAATAATATAATAAACATTTTGATTTATTCACACTGGAATAAGAGATCTGTAAGTGTCCACATTCCTAAAGAAAAGTTACTTTTTCTCCCCAGCAACCAATAACTGTCAATAAGTCCTCAGTCAGAGGTGGGGCCTCAAAAATATCTCCTCCATGCTAGAATCCTTAAAAGTCTTGATTTTTAGCATAACTTGTATGGGTTACCACATCTTCTGTGTGTTCATCAGTCAAGCCATGTTCAAAGGCTAGTTTTTCATATCACTCCTCCCATCTTCTAGTGCTTGCATTTTTTTCTGCCCATTCTTCTAAAATGTTCCCTGAACCCAGCATGAAGGGATTGATATAGATGCCTCATTTATGGCTGAGTATTCACCTTTGTTTATTCATGGTACATTGAATAGCATATAATATCTCTATATTAACCACTATTTTCAGCAATAGCTTCTCTGAACAAAGTTGGGAATGGCACATATATATGCATATGAGCATTATATCCAGAAGGTAGTTTGACAATATGACCACTTAGAACAATATCTTAGTTACTTTTTTATTGCCATGACTAAACATCATGACCAAGGCAACTTTTAAAAGAAAGCATTGAATGCAGAACTTACGGTTCCAGGGGGTTAGAGTCCACGGCCAACATTCTAGGGAGCATGGCAGCAGACAGGCAGACATGGCTATGAAGCAGTAGTCAATTGCTTATATCAGATCCACCAGCACAAGCTAGGGAGAAAATTAACTGGAAATGGTATTGTCTTGCAAAATCTCAAAAAAAAAAAAAAAAAAAAACATGCCCCTCTGACATATCTCCACCAAAAATACCGCACCCCCTAATCTTTTCCAAATAGTTCCACCAACCCTGAATCAAGAATTTAAATATATGAGCCTATGGGGGCCATTCTCATTTAAATCACTACAAACAACATCAGCAGTTTCTACTCTAGTGCCTATAACTTCCCTATACACGAGTTTGGCTACCACACGTGCATATATGTGGAAACTAGAAAAATAGAAAATGACCATTTCTAAAGAGGATACCTTTAGGAAGGGAATGTGGTTAAAATGAAAGCAGAGAGATAGAATAATGGTTGAAGAAGTGTTTACGGGGTAAAGTAATGAGAATTGGGAAGCCAGGAGCCAGAGGAAGGCTTACCCAAAATGAAGTGTGCATGAAGAAGTTTCTTAAATGCTCTGATCTTGCAATCCAAATTATTTATATGTAGATATATATAGGTAGATAGATATATATATAGGTAGATAGATAGATACATAGATACATAGGTAGCTACATAGATAGGTGCATAGATATAGATAGATAGATGATAGATAGATAGATAGATAGATAGATAGATAGATAGATAGATAGATAGATAGAT